GTCTTGTTCTGAAAGCTGGGTTTGTCTCCACTATATGTTCATTGCCTATTCATTACCTATTGAGAGCATCTCTAATGTCTTCATAATCTGCCAGTTATCCCAAGAGATAACAAAAAGATGGGAAAACTCACTTAAAGAAAACCACAGGCCTAAACCGCTGAAAGCCACGATCTATATGTTTCCCAGATTCTCATGGTTGGAACATAGTCACAATAACTTGTGTCCCTGTAAACTGGGACAACAGAAACTGAGCTGAACTCTCAGCCATAAAGGAAAGCAAAGATAGCATTAGGATCAGACAGACTGTCCCAGAGCTGGTGAAAATTTCCCCATCAAAATTTGATTTTTTGACAAAAAAATAGGTCATTGAGAATTCAAAATTTGGAAAATTTTGACCGTCACCAGAATGCTGTGAACTGTCACTTGCAGCATTAGTGAGTTGCATGTAGCCTGTTACATCATGCAGCATTCAGCATGTCACCACAGCCTGGCACAAACATCACCCCGATGACATATCCTACCGGACAATCTTCCCATATTATCAGGGTCACTTAAAACTGATGTTAAAGAACTTAAAAACCCCAAAACAACCCCCCCAAAAATATATTAAAAAAACCAAACATTTTATCAGCTTTTCAATGTTATTAAAAGATAAAGATGCCATTGGAAATATCAGATACTGTGTGTTACTTCAATATCCGTGTCAACAATAGATCATGGGGTAGTGGGATGTGGAATAGCCTGATGTGTCTATTACACCACTAAAATGATCTAAACAATGTGCTAGTTATATATTATATGATGTTTTCCTCCCCCAGGCATCTGAGCTATTGAAAATACCATTCCAAATACCTGTAGATTTTACTGAGGAAGCAAAGGCAGGAAATGCCATGGCTATCAACAGAGATTCAAGAGGGACCTGGTATTCACAGGCAATCTGTTCACCTGGAAACAGTGACTTTGTTCAGGCACATTCAAAAGTCTCCATATGGGAAGAAAACAGTTTATATTGATGCCAGTGCTCTAGTGCACACGTGATCCATTAAATACAGACTTTAGGAAAACCAGTTGGGTCACAAACAAGAATGTGTCCCTCAAAAAGAGATGGGGTATATTTTTAGTTGTCACCTGCCAGGTAGTCTGGATAGAAGACCAACCTGTCATTTCATCTAGGACACAGGGCTGATGGCAGGAGCCTGGCCAGCATGAGTGCTGGCTTTTGATAGCTGAACCAGCATTTCTGGTCTCTTTAGCAAGACTGGATTGCACAAAGAAAGCTATGCACAATAAAACCAATTGTTACTATGTCTGCCTCCCCCTTCCCTCCCCCCACCGCAAAACAACCAGATTTCTTCTCCTAAAACACCCCCCTCCCCGACCCATTCGATACTCTAATAGGGAAAGCACTATTACATTTGATCTAGTAAGTGGCATTTAATGAAGAGTCAAAGACGCAGTTAAGTATCCCATTTGTTTCCCAGTGAGTGCATCTGATGAACATTTACCATTTGGCTCATGCAGATATAGTGCCTTCTGTGTCAAATTGCTTTCCATCTCCTGGCTTCCCAAAGCAACATCTACAACTACACTAAATGACTGGCACTAGCACATAGGATTAAAATTGTGTAGGGACAACAAAATCCCCCTTCAATTGTTCCTGGAAATCCTGGCTGAGACATACAAATCTTTCATGTTTACATGCAGAGCTTTTTCCAATTGCTTTTTTCATTGAATTGATACTGGGTTGTTTTTGTATATTAGCTAATGAAACTTTTTCCTGGAAAAGCAGCAAGACTTAGATGCTCATTAACTTGACGATACCGACCCCTCTAATGTGTCTGGACAAAAAGTCTGTCTTTTTAGCTTACTGAGGCTTCTTAAAATTGCAGTCCATTTTTTTGTGGGGGAGCAGGGGATAATGGGAGAAAAATGCAATGTCCCTTGTATCTTTTTAGTTCAGAAAAATATATGTATTGAACCACCACTTTGTTGTCTACACAAAGTACACAAGACAAAAAAGAAAGAATTTACAAAGGAGACCAGACTTGTATGTATAGTTAAATTTCCTTCCATGCAGTTTCATATTTGCCAGAAGTGAGAAAAGCCATTACAGCTATACCCAGCAGATGTTTTAATCATGGTCTCTTCTTGTCGATTTACAGCATTCAGGTTTTGACTGATGTGACAGAAAATAAAGCAGACAGCTAGATTTATCACTGCTCCAATCTCTAATCACTCGCCAGTGTTACTCTCTGGAGCACTGTGGGGATAATGATGTTTAGCATAACACCAGAAAACATCTTCCTCTCTTCATTAATGCCAGACTTGGAGAAATAACCTCCTCCTCCCCCCACTAACCAGAAAGTTGGCAGAAACTCCCGCTCAGATTAATATGATGGCTTCTAAATTAACATGCAGACTTTACTGTTACTTTTTACTGAAATTGACTGCCAAGTGACCTGGAAAACAATCGCTTCCCTATGACCCACTTAAAACCTGGAACACTTCAACTTTTCCCCTCCAAAGAGCCAGTACTTCCCATTGGTAACACATGCTACCAGTCCTGCTGCAATGGGAAAGGGAGCTACCCAATGCTGCTGCAGCGAAATTAATCACAAGTTGTGTCATTATCCACTAACAGGTGCAAATGCTACTTTCTGAGTTACAGAGAGCTTGACATTTTTAAAATAACAAATAAATAAAAAGTTTTTAAAACTAAAGCAGGCACCCTACAAAATAATCTAATGATCAGAGAGCTTGGACTACAGCTGAGTTCTGGCTGACTGAGGAATGGGGTCAAACCTGAATAATAAACATCCACATCAAGACTCTAATGTGCTTTGTTCACTTAGGGTGCAAATAAAGTTAGGCATGCCCTTAAGTCTTTGTAGGGCTGGCTCCCAGCTCAGTACACTGCTCCATACAGGGTCTCATTTAAAAAGCCATTTGATAAGGTAAAATTAGGCCTTGATCCTGCAAAATACATATACGGGCACTTAAATTTGCAGGATTCTGGCCTTACTTTCTACCTTAAAATTAGTTAGAAATATCATTATGAAGTTTCCCAGATCCTGGCCCTGATATTGTTTTATGTCTAATACAAATACATGAACTTCCCCTGCTGCCACTCAGTGTGGTAAAGGAGTCTCTGGATAAATGGCCCTAAGTCTGGTGCCTGCTATCAGCTTCCACACTTCATCCCCACCACCCCCACTTAACTGGAAGGCCAGAAGCCCAAACCCCAAGTGCTGCCTGGAGACTGTGGCATCCCCACATTCTCAGCTGCAAGGTCACCCCCTTCGACGTCCACGTACCCCCACTACGGGCTATCCGAGAAGTGCTTCATCGCACTCTGGTGCAGACACTCTATGCCGATGGGAGAGAGCTCTCCTGTCCGCACAATACATCCACCTTCGCGAGAGGCAGTGGTAGCACTGTCCACACTGGTGCTCAGGTCGGTGGAACTCACGTCGCTCAGGGGGTGGCTTAGTCACACCTCTGAACGATGCAAGTTATACCGAAGTACGTGGTAGTGTAGATCGGGCCTAAGACAGCCATGAAAATAAAGAGTTTGGTCCTGCTTCTAAATGGGATGGAGCTGCTTAGAGGAGAGGAGGCCCATTAATAAACCGATTAAGCACAGGACGGTGTTTCACCTTTCTTTCTCTTGCCACAGGGTCCTACCAATATCAGAGGGCCTGGCCTAGAGAGGGGAGCTGTGCAGCAACAGCAGAGCCAGCGCACGGGCAGAGCTCTGGAAACTGGCTTGGACTGTTGGCCCAAAAGGCACAGATAGGGCTGATGGAAAGGGCGTGACGGGGGTGCACAGCTGGGCTCAAACCAACACGTGCTGACCCCGTGCTACCGCCCGCCAGCATTGCTGGAGTGACAGCAGCAGCATGACGACGTGGGACAAAAAGCCAACAGGTATTTAAAACTCTTTGAGACCGGCATGAAATAACAGAGAGGCCCCGTGCGGGAGAGGCTGGCCTGGAAACAGCCTGTGGCACCTACACCACATCCGAATGGATCTTCTTGTTAAGCCCCCCAGGGCTGGGGGACCTACTCTAGGAACTGGCACGGCTTTGCCTTTGTAGGGCTGTACGCTACGCTCCCCTTTGATATGTGGCCCCTGTGCCCCTCCCAGCCCATGCTGCACTGGGCAGATGGGAGCAGCAGCATAAGGAGCCTGCCTCTTCCCAGGGAGGTGCCAGGGCCCCTCTTTGGACTGGCCATACACAGTGAATCACCAGGGAAGAAGGGCTAAAGCCGAAGGGACGGGGAAAGCAGCTGCTTTCTGAGGCACGTTCTCCCTCCTGCACAGAACGGGGAAGGGTGCTCAATCTTTGACCCTGAGCAGTGGGAGAGGTAGGCTGGAAGATACACGTTACAGTGGCACAATCTCTCTGCTGCAGGTGTTCAAAATGGCTGGCAACTGGACACTAAATACATAGCACTGCCTAGTGCCCTCCGAGGGAAAGGTGAGCCCCTAGAAGCCTTACGCTTTCCTGTCCAGCGTGAACACGGATCCCACTGAAATCCATGGCAGCACCCTCACTGGCAGGATTTCACCCCGGCTGCAGAGACGTTAGCGCCACCGTTTTGTTACGGAGAGCGGCCACCGGATGCAAATCTCCAGGGGGCTGCAGTATTACCGCCTGAGGGGGAAGCAAGCGGGACGGCCCATCTTACAGCTACTTGGCACGTGCACTTACTCCTAGATTTTAAAGGCCAGAACGGACCACGGGGTCATCTAGTCTGACTTCCTGTCTAAAAGGAGGCCAAGGAATGTCACCCCGTTACTCCTGTATTGAGCCCAATAACAGTGGCCTGTGCCATTATTGCCCATTTGTATGGGTGATCCCACAATGTGTGACAGCAGCTGTAGGGAGCGCGCCCGGAATTAGGCACGCAGCTGCATGTGCAACTCCGCACCTCGCTGCATAAAAACCAAACCATACGTTCTTTGCCCCCTCCAAAAAGCCAGGGCTGTCCCTTACCCCTTTGCAGATTGCCACGGCCTCCTTGGACATGGATTTGGGATAGGCTACGTTGTGCTCCATAATGGACTGGAAGAGTTCATCTTCATCTTCCCCTTCAAAGGGCGCCTAGGGAGGAAGCGAGAGAAGACAGGTTAAGTGGCATATCCTTGTTTTTGGAATAACGTTTGTGTTTATGATCTTCAGGTAGGAAGTCAGCACCTTTCGTTTCTCCGGGCGCTTCGTGACTGATCTCTTTCAGATTGGCAGCCTCTCCCCATGGCCCCCCCCCCCCGATGTTTGCCGGTGACAAAACAAATTGCTCTTCAACAGCTGCTCACAATGGAATTTAACAAAATCCCATGGGAATCAATGAAAATTCAATTACCTGGCCAGCTAACATTTCATAGAGCAGAACTCCAAATGCCCACCAATCCACCGACTTCCCATAGGGCTGATAAGCAATTATCTAAAAACAACAAAAACAGCAGGATTACAACGCTTCAATTATTAGCCTGTTGGCACAATGCGAAATAATTCCAAGCCTTGGTCCAGGTCAGAAGGACAGGGATATTTATTTGTGGTCGGATTTTCAGAAGTGATGAGTACTTGCAGCTGCTGTTGAAATAGACAGTAACAGCAGGTATTCAGCACCTTTGCAAGTCAGGCATTGCACAGCACTTGTTAACATGGCATATGTATGACATCAGGAAAAACAAAACATTCACTCTGATTTTTCAACTAGCATATATATATATATTTTTTAAATGCAGAACACATGGTGTCTTAAATACAGCCTGCTATGAGCTTCAGCTCTAAGAAGCCAGGTAAATTGAGATGTTGCCTGAAAAGTCAATGCGTGACAAGAGAGAACAATGATACGATCAGAGTGATCAGGTTTGCTCACAACTGTAGGGTCTCCCCCCGATTCATCGCTACAGATACAACGTTGTTTCAATTAGAAACATTAGGCCAAATTCTACTCTCATTCACAGTGGTGTAAAACTGGATTAATTCCACTGATTTCTCTACAGTTGCTCTGGAGTAATCGTACAGAATTTGGCCCTCTAGGTATATTCAGTAGAGGTATATCTTTCAAAAGGGCTTATGAAATTTTAGTAATTAAAAATCTCAACATTTGAAGCTATTAGATTGCATTTTTATTTCATAAAATAGTTCAAACTTCCAGAAAATAAAAAAGAAAAAGAAAAAAAAAGCTCCCACAACTGTGCAGCATCATATTTGCTTACAAATCTGACCATTTTGGAGTTAAAATGGATATAATACAATTTTCAATTGAAAGCCATTACAGTTTTGAAATTTCAAGAGTCAAAATTTCATTGGAATAAGGGTCAATTTCTTGTCTCAAAACATGACATTTCACATTTGTCTGCATGGCTCTTTTTGTGAAAACTTGTGGCTGTGAAATCACAGTCTATACAACCTTGCCGTGAAATCAGTAAGATCATTTACCAGCTTCGCACACAGCTTGGTTTAATTTCTCCTAAGTCATGAACAGCCATCAGTCATGGCAGAGTACAACGGAAACCAACTGGAGTAATGTCTGGCACAGAGAAACTCTCCTCCTTCTAGTGAAATAAATTGAAAGCTCAAAAATTGTTCCAGTGCATCGCAAGGTTTAAGTTACAATTCTGCTTCCAGAGAAACTCCACTTAGATAGCAAAGTTGTTCAGTGGAGAAAAACCAACCAGACCATGAGAAAGTCCCACTTTACCTAAATAAGCCTTCTCCACTTCACATTCTTCAAAAATAGAGGCAGTTATATTGCACCATAGTTTATGCTTTATGCATGCAGACATTGCTGGTATGTATTCCTGCATTAGAAGCGGACCAGAGACTGTTTCCAGAAATGCGTGTCCCTGCACAATACTCAGACCATTAGCAATCTGCATGATCAGTAGCGGACTTCAGACTTGTTTCAAGATTGTGAACCTCCTAAGTCGCTTCACAGTATCTTGAATAAGGGCCCAAGCTATCACAGTCAATGGGATTGCTCACGTACTTAAATTTACGCACATGATCTAAGGGCTTTGCTGGATCAGGGTCAGAATACTCATTGGCTTGTGTGATTGAGCCCCAAATGAACAAAGTACCTTGCCCACATGAAAGGACAATTTAGACACACCAGCATAGATTGTGTGTCTTCATCATAGAAAAAGCTAATGTACAATCCCGCTGCACAACCGGGACATTTCCAGCCCAACTGTGGTGCTACTAGCATGTGTTTTGATTTCCCAGCTATTTAAGGAAAGTAACTACTCCAGCAATCAACCCTCCTGAGAGTGAAGGAGAGAAGGAGGAACACCGTTTGTTCTACCAAGCTACTGAGTCAGCCGGTCCAGCTGTCTGAATGACGGTGCATATGGGGGAGTCTGGGAGAGTCCATGTTTCTGTCATTGTATTTTCCCATTTTCAAATGAGGAGGTCACTCTAGTCTTGGGTACCAATGATCAAAGGGGAAGCAGGAAGCGCACGCGCACACACAGTTCTAACCAGGCTGGAAACTGAATCTAAGGAACCCGGCTTCGGCAAAGAGCGAATCGGTGTTCTGAAGGGCTCTTTCAAGCCCCAGTTTATTTGCTTAGCTGCTGCTGCTGGGCCTCGTTTCAGCGTACAGAGTTTGACAGGCCTTAGGCTGTGCCATCTGTTACTTAACGCAGAACAATTACACAATTTATTCATCCTAATTACAGAATTCTATTCTGAATAGATTCATATATTCAAATATGAATGCAAATCACATGCTAATCACAGTAAAATATACACACACGTGATTCAGTTCAACTCCAAGAGGTTTTTCTTTCTGTTCCCACCTCCCCACCCCCCACATTTGACTGAGGCCCCGATCCTGCAATCTGATCCGCACAGACAGACATCTGAGCCCACATGGAGCCCCATTTCTCTCCCACATGAAGAGAAAACCCTGGCACATTCCACCTCCCTCTCCCTCAGAGAACAACATCCCCAAAGAACAAAAGGCAACGGGTTATTTTTCAGATTACTCTGTCAATCTTCCATAATGCAAACAGCCATTTGCATTTGATTACAGCCATGAAATGGAGCCGGTTATAACAAGAGCTTCTCTCTTCCGACAGTTTGGAAAGGACCCGGCTACATACAAGAGGCTCATGGGGCAGGGTTCAGATAAACAATACATGACCAATCCTATCGGCCTAATAGATCAGAACCGTTCCAAAGTTACCGCTCTGGTGTACGACACAGAGCCTGATTATGACCTCTTACCATGATCCATTACTGCCCCATCAGGAAAATAAGGTGTTTTCAGTCTTTAAATCACAGGCCTCATCAAATGACCTACTAACAGCCTACTTTAAACCTACAAAAGCAATGACATTCAGTTAAGTTTAAAGATCAGAGCGGATATGCTGTCCTTAACTTCACAGGGGTCCTGATTCAGCAAAGTACTTACACACGTGCCTGATTATAAATACCTGAGCAGTGTGCTTAAAATCAGGCACATAGCTTGTTGAATCGGGGTCTGTTCCTCTTCCTTTCAGTGTTGCTGAACTACTCAGATCTGACCCTGAGTGTCAGTTCTGAATTGCCTTGACTTCTAGTTCACTTAGTGTTCCTTTCACTTGGTTTTTGGTGATTTGCCAATGCCCTGGGAAATTCAGGGGTGAACTGCTCACACCAAAGTCCTCTAAGAGTAAAAAATATTAAATAAAACAACCAAACAAAAAAACCTGGTAGGAAACATCAGAAAAAACAACCACTAAAGAGCACTCTCTCTTTACAGGAAACTGTACCAGTGATAGTCATTCATACTCACTGCAGTCCCTTAGGTACCAAGGTGACTTGTACCTTATAACAGAGTCCCAGCAAATGGGTCAAGCAAGTCACAGGATGTTTCTAACTTGAGGCCATAGCAGCATAAAACATTTTCAGCTTCTTCATGGAAGGCAGCAGAGCCTAATGGAGAGTGAACTGCCCTGGAATTTGGGTTCTAATCTCTGCTACGGAACAGCTGTGTGATGTTGGCCAAGTGCATGTGCATAGTTTCCCCATTTATGAAATGGGGATAAATTTACTTCCTTCCTTGAGATCGACAGGTAAAGAAAACTATCAAAGGGGTAAATAATAATAATATTCCTAAATCCATTAGCAATTTGCATCCTAATTTCCCATTCTCTGCTTTTCTATTGAAAAAACAAACTAAACCAAGGAAAATAAGTGTTTACGTGATAATGCTCAGTTGACTACCAAAGGACGTGGTCATTTGTCCTGCTTTTAAGGAGTATTAATCACCCACAGCAACAGAGCTATTACTCTTAATACACAGAGGCTACATAATACACATTTTGGCTAGTAATTAACTATCTCCCTGGCTGAGACGAAACACAAAGTAGTTTAGAATACTGGGACATAATCTGACATACATCTGAAGGGGATTTATTTCCTTAAAATGTTTCAATGGGTAAATACTAATGTTTCATTGCTGAGCATTCAGGCAGAATGTAAGAAAATTTCTTTGTTTTTTGTTTTTTTTAAGGGGACAGGTATTTACGAGCAAGCGCAACATTGGCTACCTTAAATAAATGGCTAACATGCCCCCAGGCGGTACTTTAAGCATAATTTGTCACACCCAATGCCATCAGTTGTTAAAATAATAAGCTGACACAAGCATTAAGATATTGAACAGTTTGGAGACATTGCTATGAAGTTATTTCAGAACACACCTGCAGCCTCTCATTGCGAGTAACAGGATGGGGATGTCTCAGGATTATTTTAATAAGGGAATATTAGTCACTGGTAACTCCGTTTGTCATAGTTCTCTCTATGAGATGCAACGAGGAACCTGATCTGCCAGGCAAGGCCAGTGATACGCTGCCCACCCACTTGCAGTCCAACTAGAGACTTCCAGTACAAAGACAGGGAGATAACCCTCCGTCAAGGCTGGGATGGGAGAAGGGCTGAGTACAGTCACCTACTGGTGACTAGTTTTCCCTTGTCGGACGTTCCTCTTTTCCCATCCAATCCAGTGACACCATTTACAAACAATGGATGTTGCAAGCAGTGAGCGGATGGAGGTGCTTTACCTTACAGAAGTCCTGGAAGCCCTAATGGACAACAAAGGATCAGCAAACGAGGGCAGATCCAACAGGTCAGGCCAAATAAAGATGAGGACCAGGTGGCCACCTTACAGATTTCAGAAACAGACGCTTCTGCCCTCTGAGGCCAGTCTGCTCCAAATGTGAGCTCCAGTGAGAATCCCAGGAGAGGGTGAGAGATGGAGCCTTGTCCAATCATGAAGAAACCACGATCTAAGAGGGCAAAGATCATTGACTCTTGATTTCTGCACTCAAGGGGTCGGGGAAGCAGAAATGACTCCACCACCCAGGTAGGAAAACACAACATACAGATTCCCCACCTGGCAAAGACTGGCAATGAGGACTCTGCATTTCTGCGAGTACTTGGACAGCAGCCAAATCAAGAAGCAGACCCAACCGAACAAAAGAGCAGAACAAAGGGAGCTGTCACCCAGACAGGTGGCTGCAAAGTAGCACCAGTGGGCTGGCTAGACGGAGACAATGTAATAGGGTTCCCAGGACCATGGGTGTAGAATCACAGATTGGGAGCTTCTGAATGCCCCCGCCCCCCCGAGAGGCTGCTCAGAGCAGCCCCATAACAAGGAGGGAGGTATTGCTTTGAGAGCGCACTTATCCCGGGGCCTTGTAGAATAGGAAGAACCTGGAGAAGGCAGGAATTCCCCAGACCTAATGAAGGGGAGAATTTCTGCACATTTAACACCTTGTGAACTGGACCCTGTGAAGGACAAAAGCCTCTTGGCTTCCATATGCCTGTACCCTGAGCCAAAGCTGCAAAAGGGACAAAGTCCTTGTCGGCCTCCCTGAGTGAGGCAAGGCCTTATGGACTGACGTGGCTATTGAGCCGTCCTGCAGATTCCTGTACCAGGTTCCTTGACGTACAGGAGGGAGCCATTAGGAAGGGGAACCGGCCTCCCTGGTCAGAGCGTATTCACTAGAAAGGTCTCAGGCAGTCTTGAACTGTCAACCTACGTGCTGCAGCACTGCTGCTGTAACAGACTACTGGCTCTTAGCTGTGAATGAATGGGTAGGGCACACGTCCCCAGGGCTGGGATGATGGTGAGCGGGCTCTCCATGGAAGATTTGGACATGGGAACAGTGATCTCTCTTGCACACACAGATGCAGAATTGCTAGGGAAACAGGACAGAGACAGGTCCCTACGAGGAATGGTCCTGGGAGAGGAGTATGGCCTGGAGACAGAGCAGCCTTGCCCCCAGATCCCAGCAGGAGAGCGTACATGAGGAAGGGAAGATGGAGAAGGAGAGGCCCCCGAGTCAGAGGAACCCTGCTGCCCCACCCCAGTGAAAGGGAGTCTGGGTGTGGGGAGAAGAGCTCCTAGGGTGCAGGAGAAGGGGTGCAGAGAGATCCAGACCACATTCATAGGCAGGTGAGTGCCCATATCCCCAGCAACAAAGGTGACTCCACTAGACACCACATTCCACTGGGATGGAGGGGGAATGATGATGGGGAACAAACTGGGCTGCCAGGGAAGGGGCAGAGACTGCACTCCAGGTACTGATCCCCAAGCCAGAAAACCAGGGAGGCCAGCAGAACATAGCTTACTAAGGGGGCTATGGTGTTCGCTGGGTCTCTGTCCAGAGCCCTCAAGCTGGCTGGCCAACAGGCAGAGACCCAGTCGTGCTGCGAGGAAATGGAGCTGGCAACAGCCCTCTGTGTCTAGAGGAAGGGGATTGATTCGGGGCCAACAACCCGAGCTGAGCCCTTGAGAAGGTGGTTTGAGGGAGCGGGAGAGAATCTTCCCGCTGGTTCCCTCCTGTCTGGCTGGAACCCCTTAAAGTTGTGAGCAGGGTCTTTGCAGTAAAGGATTTCTCCTTGCTGCCTTCCCTCACCCTCTTTCCACCACCCAGCAGCTGGAAGAGGGCACTGAAAAGCTGGAATGAGAGCAGAGAACGGAGGCAACTCCTTGCTTGCAGGTCACAGAGAGCTGGGAAGGAAGTGGGTGGACTGATGCTCAGACATTAGCTTTGACTGCCAGGCCTTTGGCTTCCTTGCTGCAGGTAGGCACACATAGTAGTAATGCTGGGATCAGTGGGAGAAGCAGCACAGATCACAGGAACATTTAAGTGAATGAATGTTCAGTACAGTCCCGGGTGACAAGGCCCAGCTGCCAGAGCCTGGCAGACACAGTGATGGGCCCCTGCGGGAGCTGAGCAAAACGGAGAATTGCTTTCCTGCCAGGAATTCTGACATTCCAACATTGGCATTCGTCCCGCTACGAGACGGGAAGCAGAAATTTTCCTTGTAATGGGAATTCTGAAAAAAAAAATTGACTTTGAAGTGTTGAAATATTTTTGATCCAAACAAAACACTTAGACTTTCCCGAAATCAAAATGTTTTATTTCAGTTTTTTGAAATGACACAAAAATGCTTTGTTTTGAGTCATTTCAACATTAAACTGTATTTTCTTATGGTAACCCATTGCCTTATGGGAGCTGTAGTTTGGGAGCACAATGCCTTCACAATGCTTCCGGCCTGAGGACATTTCCCACAATGTATCCAGAGTCATGTGACTGCCCTGATGCACCACACAGCTTGGGCAGAATGAAATCTGCACATTGCCTTATGGTAGATGTAATCCTACTGGGAGCCCCTCCTTTTGGAGAGAAGAGGGTAGAACTACAGCTCCCATAAGGCAATGTGTCATAATAGGAAAGTGTAGTTTACGTTTTATTGAAGTCATTTGAAACAAATCATTTTGGGTCTGTTAAAAAAAATGAAATATTCCAAATCAGGTCAAACCAATCCTAAATGAAATATTTTATTTTGATTTTCCAAATAGAAAAAAAAATCAATTTTTCCACCAAAAATTTCAACTTTGTAGAAACTGCACGTTCTGTTGCAAAATCATTCCAATGGAAAATTCCCAGTTAGCTCCAGTGCCCATTTTGGTTTGCATGCATTCTCCAGCTGGTCCTAAAGGGATCGCCCTTATCTCTGGTTTGAAAAAACTCAAGCCACCTCCAGACTCAGTCACACAGGCATCGCTGAAGGAAATGCTGTCAACTGACAATTATTGTTGGAGGGCTTATGACAAAAGCTATTCAATGCATCTATTGAGTGACAAAAGCCACCGAAGCTATTGTGTTTTCTCTGCCTGTATCCATTCAGACCTTGGTCACAGAAGCAAAAGGTGTTTTATGAAATACACATTTCCATAAGATATTTTTATCCTTGAAAACCCATCGCCTAGGAGCCTCTGCTGCTGCACATCTCATTCCCTCACCTCGGGCGCAATGTAGTCGGGAGTGCCGCAAAAGGTCTTGGTAGTTGCTCCATCCCAGATGTTCTCCTTACACATGCCGAAGTCCGCGATCTTTATGTGCCCTTCGTTATCTAGCATCACGTTGTCAAGCTTTAGGTCTCTACAGCAGGACAGTAAAATAACGGTTACACAAAAGGGTCAAACTGAAAGGCTGTAGTAAAGAAAGCCAACAGACCTCCTGCATCCAAGCTCATTCAGGCAAAGGGCTCTCCCTCACACATACACCCTTTGTAGGAAGACGTCCTGGGGATGATGATTCAGAATGAAATCTAGGCATACCGGCGCCCAAGTTTTTAAATGTCTATTCCACATAAACGCCAGGCTGGACAACACACTGGAAAATATACTGTACAGAACAATCTTGCACTGGCAGGGAGATTGACTTAATAGATCATTTTTCATCTTTAATTTCTATGCACCTCAGAGTGTATTTGGAGTTCACATGTAACCTAAAGGTAGATGGTAGCAAGTCAGAAAAGGTTCTAGCATTATCTCAACTTCTCTTCCTAATGTAACACAACAGGCCTCTGTGCGTGACCCGCAGAAGATACGAGTCTGCTACACCTCTCAGCTCAAGCTGTAGAGACTCATGCCTTCAGCTCTGGAGATGCCTGGCTCAGTTCTCTAGTGTCGGCTACGATGCGGCCAGGGGGTTACACTAAAAAAAAGAATTGGAGGGTAGTCTTTCAGTGAACGTTCAATATTTCAAGTAGAAGTAGCTCCCCATGTAATTACCAAGCAGCTATGTGGTCTGTGTTATTATTTTCTTGTTTATGTCCTGTACAATAAGCCAAAGGTCTCTGTTTGGGGTAAGGGCGTATGTGCTGTATCTCTGTCCACAGGGTACAGCAAGGCCATCAGACCGGTAACCTAGTGGTATGTTTGTCATGGTGCAAACTGTGAACTCTGAGTCAATTGCCATCTGCTATCAAGATTTACGAAGTTGTGCCCAAGGCTGCAAATCTCTTTAACAGGGTAATGGAAATCATACACCGTAGAGCTGAAGTTGAGGGCACATCATGAAGTTAATGTCAACCAGCTTGATAGACAGGGCCAGATTCTCATCTCATGTAAACAGGCATAGCTCCATTGACTTCATAGAGCTATGGAGAGTTAGGCTAGCTAAAGATCTAGCCCAGAGCCTCCAACCAGGAGAAGAACTACTGTAGTTCAAAAAGAAGGCAGACAATCACCTGAGTTTCTGTAAAGGTGTTTTTGTTTAAGTTCATGGTTTGGTTGCCCCTTTTCACAATACCTCTGTCATATGCTCTGGATCTGCTATTCTAACGCAAGTTACCCATATTCGCTTCTAACACAAGCTACAGTAGGGTCTACTGGAAAAGGAAGGCTGGAAAATAACCAGTAGTTAGGGTGGAAATAAACCCTTTGCCCCTCCTTGATTTCCCTCCAGCTAATATTTTAGTAGCAGCATCTAAACTCCTCTCCCTCTTTGGCTTCTCACCCAGCAGCCAACTGGCCTCCAGCATAAACATAATCATGCATACATTTCATCTACTAACTTGAGTCACAGTGGCAGAGCCTCTGGTACATGTACAAAGGTTCATCCCGCCTCTGACTGAGTGAATGCACCAGAATTATGGGGAAGAGATAATACAAGAGCTCTGGACTACAAATTCCCCAGTTAACTGAAACCATGTATCATGACTCAACTCGGAAGGAACAAAGATATCATGAGCTGGTTTCCCTGGTGTAATCACAAAAACGTTTGGGGAGCACAGAGTGACGGGGAGACCAGGAGTAAGACTGTTAATCCTGCAGTGACATGGAAAGGGACACCAAAGGAGGAGTGTAAAGGTTTGGGATGGACAATTCAACATTCAGTATTGCAACACACTTCATAGAGAAATTATATTTAGCTATTTGGAGCCAAGATCATTTCATATGCAAAATTATACTTTAAGCACTTCCTCAGTTCGACAAATTGGTCAATTAAGCGAAAGTACAATAGCGGGAATGGCACAATTTACAGTTGCTGACTTTTTGTTGGACTTCACTAACTATGGCAACGCTGCTTAGAATTTGGATTGGGCAAGGACAGATAAACAAAAGGCTGCATTCAATTTTATAGGGAGAAGAAGCACAAAGTACTAGTGGACTTACAATGTCTCTCTGCAACAGCCAATGGCAAAAAAAAAAAATGTCCCTCATGTCTGGTTGTCCCGACTGCTTTCGTCTTTGGAGCAGTGTTCAGTAACTCATGACTACACTAGTGCAGTCAGCATTCTCCTTCACGGGCAGTTAATGACATCTGACATTCATTAAGGATGTTCTGCTTTACCTTGGGCCTTGTGGAGACTCCAGCATGTGAAAGAGCGATGGCTAGTTTCAGTGCCTGGACAGAAGCCTCGGAGTGCTGTCCAGGCCTGCCAGTAATCTAGCTAAGCTAGAATGTTGTAACTCACATTGCAAGCATTGGAACGGTAAGTGCCAGGTTTATACTGCAAGTCTCAGGACAAACCACTCACAAAGTCTCAAAGATGAGAAAACAACGCTCCCTAGTAAAATACACATCTCACAATTCATCCAACCCACCAGCTGTGATCTATGTTGCCCAAACAGAAATGTAAAACAGGGAGGCAGGAAAAAAAAATCAAAACCACTTTTATGAGCTCTCTTCCCTACAAAACTGGGGTAAAAGAAAATCATGCTCTCAAAGCACTAAGGGCTGGTCCACACTAACCCCCCAGTTCGAACTAAGATACGCAACCTTCAGCTATGTGAATAACGTAGCTGAAGTCAAAGTATCTTAGTTCGAACTACAAGGTACTTACCGCGGGTCCACACGTGGCAGGCAGGCTCCCCCGTCGACTCCGCGTACTCCTCTCGTGGAGCAGGAGTACCGGTGTCGACGGCGAGCACTTCCGGGATCGATTTATCGCGTCTAGACAAGACGCGATAAATCGATCCCAGAAGAGCGATTGCTTACCGCCGAACCCGGAGGTAAGTATAGACGTACCCTAACATTAACAGGCCTCCAGTTCTATTCACTGCATGTATACCTCCCGGACAGCTGCCAAATTGTGCTCCATGACACTGCAATGGGCTGCAGCCCCAGTGGACTGCTGTGCGGATTACTAGGTACAAGAGAGACTCCTTGAACCCTAAGCACAAAGTCCAATCATTGTAACAAACAGGCTCCTATTTCTGCACCAGTTCTTTAGAAGGGGAGAGAGGGAGAATATGTTCACCTACCGATAAACGATGCCTTTGCTTTGTAGGAAGAATAGGCCAATAGCAATTTCTGCTGCATAGAATCTGAAATTAAAGATTTAACAGGAATACTGATAATTAAAGCAGATAAATTGAAATGAAAAGCTTTCAAATCTAATTACACAAAATGAAACACACTGGGCCTACCTCCCCAAAAGATAAAGGCAAGCGCACTGGAAAAACACTGGACAAGTATCATGCAAGAGTGACATCGCTTCCCCTCTGCCACAGATCGGGTAAGAACACGACCAGGTTGCTGTGGGCTAGTGTGGGGCTGTCACTTCTGATTACATAGATCTCCATTTTTAAAATAAAGGAGCCAAGATCTATGACCGTTCGTTACTATGGGGTGATTGAACATGACACACAAAATTACATGTCACCATGGGGAGGCCAAGAAGATAAAGAAACCAGTGGTAACGTCTGTTAAAGAATATTCTGTGCTCAGAGGACTGTGCCTGAACTATACAGCGTCCCTTGGAAAGCTTTAAACCCAGCCTAGATCTGGAGAGGCTGTTTAAAAAAAAAAAAAAAAAAGCGGATTTGGTGGGTTTGTGAAACATTTTGTTATCCTCAGCCCAGATTACAGTCAGCAGGTGCCAAAGCCACTGATCAGCACCTGGCTGGCAGCTGCAGTAAAGCAGCCAAAGACTGATTGTTCTTCTTGTACGTCTAGGGATGGCCCCCGCCGGGCAGGATTGAGACATGTCTCCATGGCGGCGCGAGGGGAAGCTCCCATTCCTGCAGCCTGCGCTCTACTAAATCTATAACTTCTAGGGAGCCTCCAGGGCTCCCGATCTGATACCTTTTACCAGCATGAAATCACCTTAAAACCACTTCCCATTGCGGACCCCAAAGCACACGGCTGCGGCTCTCTCTCAAGACGGTCCATGGAAAGGCTTGTTCCACTCGACAGAACAGCTTCACTGCTTAAACACCTCACAGCACCGTTGCTTAGTCAATGGATTAAAACTGGGGGAATCCAATTGTGGCTCCCAGGCTGGGGGGAGGGCTGCGCAGACAGCATCTTCACCTCCATACAAAGGAGCCCCTTGTGTTGCCCTCAGAGGACCTCGGCTGGCTAGCCAGAGAGAAGCATTATGCAGGGGTCTCTGGATGGAGATGTGGCTCAAGGAAAGGACAGATTGCCGAAATGGGGGGACATGGAGAACTCTCCTTAGAAGGCCTTTGAAATCTCCTTGTATGTGATGATCTACGGCCAAGGTTTTAAACACAATGGAGAACTCAAGTTAGGCTCCTGAGTCCATATTTAAGCACGTACGTGAGATGGTCTGCTTTCCAAAAGTGCGCAGCGTCTCCCACTGGAGTCAACAGGAACTGCTGCATGCTCAGCACATTTGAGATTCAGGCCACTGATTGACGTGTCTACGTGTGGGCTTAGGGGTGTAACTACAGAACCCCTTTTTGAGAATCTTGACCCAGACGCACATCAGACACCACCCACTGAGCACAGCCTATTCCCGACGGGAAGGCACGCTGTTTGCTCCGAGGGTGTCGTCCACTCTGCTCCTCCTTACGGGATCATGACTAGAAACCACAGACTTGAAAACCCCCATTGGTGGGATCAGGAACCCAGGGCTGAGCTCATCTAGCAGATGCAGCAGGCTGTTTAGGAGAGTGCTAATTGCAGAAGGAATTCCTGCTCACCCACAAACTTCCTGGTGACCAGCACCGCTGGCAAAGGAAAGGCAGAGACAAGAGCACAAGGCAACGCCGTGCCAGTGACACGTTATGCTGTAGCTTAAAATCAAACCCAAGGGGAGCCTCTTTTTAGACATGAGATTCATCAGTGTAGATTTCCCCGCTGAGGGGTTCCAGTCTGGGCAATAGATGGGCTGGCCTGGGACACACACGTGTGAAATCTACTTGCTCTGTAAGAAGTTCTGCAGCTCTCGGACACACTCAGGCCAACAGCCGGCCGAGGCTGAGGCCCAGGCTCGGCAGCCCTCTGACTGCCAGCAAGAGATGGTCACCTATCCCGTTTGCAGCCTCTCAAAACACTTAGAGAGAAATTTGTAAGCACTCCCTGGTGCTTTTTCAGGCCCAAGAGGCAATAAAACCTGCTCTCTGCAATTACTTCTGACCATCGGGCTGGATCGGGAACATTTCATCTTCGCATTCCTGCTGTCCCTCTGCTCACCCTCCCGTTCTGCATGTCTCCTCCCTCAAAACCATGAACATTGAACCATGTATCCTAAACCCGCAGATACACTCCACAGACCCATGAAATACTCCTCCCCCCCCCCCCAAAGGATGAATGTTAACACTGGCTATTGAACTTACACAGCGTGGGGCTCTTTAAACCTGCCAACCTGTTGGATCTGATACATTAAGTCCCCGCCATTCACGTATTCCATCACAAAATATAAGCGATCCTAAAAGAAAAGAACATGAAAATTAAGAACAGCAGCAGAATCACAAGAGCAGGGAATTTAGTGAGGTTGAAGATGAGGGGTAGATATTCACAGCCACCTAACTCCCCGTAGAAGTGCCACTTGTGCCTTCGACAATCTATATATAGCATATCGTTGTCATTCCTGGTGCCCATCCTCCAACACGATGCAGGCAAAGCTTGGGTCTGCGTGATGCATGTAAGGTAACCAGATAGATTCCTAAGTGGGTGGAGCCCATTCTCTGATCCTCGGGGACAGTTGCAAGCTTTGGCCTGTAAGGCAGGTAGGGGTGGAGTAGGACTGGCCGAAGAAAAAGAATTGCGTTTTGCCGGGGGGGGAGGGGAAATGGAGGTTTTGCAATTTGGTTTTGCCTGCACTGGAAGAAAAAGGAGCCCTTTTGAAATATTTTGCAAGACGTGTGCAAGTGAGCGACCAGAATAGCCAATGGCCGAGTGGTTCGGGCACTTGGACCTGTGCCCTCCCCCATCCCAGCTCATTATCTTAACCAACGAACTACTGACTAGTCTGGGGTCCCCTGCCCCCTCTCCCCTTCCAAACCTTCATTTTAAATAAAAAAATTCCCAGCCAGGTTAGGGAGCAGCCACATCCATGGGGCTATTGCCCCACTCAACCACTCTGCATACACAACTCGCATTAACAAAGGGAGAGCTGTAGTCCGTCAGCACAATGCACTGCAGTTTGTGGATAAATGACACACACACTTGCTCTATCTGGAACGCTGTTAGCAATTTACACTCAGGTTTTTGGACATCAGGGTTTTCTTTTTTCATCTCTTATCTCAAGACACATTTGTCGGCCGCATTCAGGATCCTGGATCGCTTGATATTTTTGCCGTACTGATATGCCAGCAGCTTTTACACAAGAACGTTCAGCTAACGGAGAATCCAAAGCTAGAGCTGCAGAAAAGGCGTCTGCAATGTTCGCATCAGCCCGGACGCCTCCCTTGAATCTTCTTGCATTTGCCAAATGGTGGCCAAACACTTAGTGCACTTACACAGCCAGAAAACCTGCCGTTGCAGGACCAGACACAGGGTGCGTTCGCGTGTGTACGTGTCCATCCATCAAACACATTGCTGCAGCAGAGATTTCAATTAGCAGCCTCCTGGCCCACCAACAGCAGGTCTATCAGGTGAGCCAAAGGGAAGCTGCACTGACCTCATCCTCCCTGAATGTCACTCTCTGCAGAGCCGATATTCAGCCTACACTCTCTCCAGTTACATTCTGTAGGCAAGGGACCTTTATAAAGGGTTAATAAATTAGTAGATGTTTTAATAACCGGTAAATCGATTGGTAGAGAGTCAGACAGGTCAAAAGGTTGCTTATCCTTTCAAACCCCTACTGCTGGGTGTGCTTATAGCTAGCTCTAACGCATGCTGCTTGTGTCTGTAACATGCTTATAACACACACTAACCCTTCATAAAATGTATCCCCCAATACACTGTGTCACCACCCCTCTTTCCCACTTGGCTGGGCGCACACATCCATCTGAAAAATCTGGCAAACAGAATCCCTACCTATCCTGGCTAATAGCCATTGATGGACCTATTCTCCCTGAATGTATCTAGTTCTTTTTTGAACCCTGTTATTGTCTTGGCCTTTACAACATCCTCTGGCACAGAGTTCCACAGGTCGACAGGTTCCACACATAGAGCAGGGCTCGTCCCTCAAGTAGCACACACCAGGGTGACCCGACATCCTGATATTATTGGGACGGTCTCAATATTAGGGGTTGTGTCTTACCTAGGCAACTATATCTCCCACCCCCAACAAAAAGTGTCCCAGTTTTTCACACTTGCTATCTGGTCACCCTAGCGCGCACTCAGACACACAGAGCAGGGCTCTTCCCCTCCAGCGGGTGGGGCAGGGACACACCCACCCACCCCCACGCACAAACTGCAGGGAGGGGAGTGGGGCACGCAGGTGTATTTCATGGAGGAGCGCACTGGGCTGCATCCAAGACTTGGGGTATTTTTTATCGTGGCTGAGGAACAGGGCTTGTGACATCATCCAGTTACAGGCACAAGGGGGTGGGGGGAAAGGTCCCCTGGCCAGGTGGATACACCTCACTCCTGCCACAAAGAGCTGGAGCCTGCTTCAGCAAGAGAGGCAGTGACAGGTCAGTCTTCTGGTACCCAGTGAGTACCTCATCCTGTGTGTGTGTGTGGGGGGGGGGGGCGCACTCCCGCTGGCCCTTCACCCCCCCCCCCCCCCCCATCACAAACACACCCAGCTGAAGATGAACAAAGGGAAGTTCAACACAATCCCAGGCAGGAGTGTGCACTCCTCTATAGCAGGGCAGCAGACATCTCCAAGGATAAAACAAGCGTCAGGGCAATAATAGCCCGCAGAGATGATTTTTGGGTATAAAGGAGAAGCCAGATACAGTGGTCATTCAGCAACCAAAACTTGAGAGGGGGCTTTTGATTCCTGGCCTACAATAATGTGAAATATTTCACCCATTGTTTCCCTTGCTCTCTCTGCATTTCTCCTTGAAATAAACCTTGCCCTGCTCCCAGGACTACAAAAGCAAGGAAAGCAGAAGATATGCAAATGTGAGCAGGTGACATAAAACATGACATTACAAGCATCTAAAATAGGTTTAGACCCATCTGATGTCTGGACGATTTGCACATGCCCCTCCATACACATGCACACGGACATTTGCAGTGGAGGGAACTCACATTCTGAAAGCACAATCACACTTGTATAATAACTGGAATGTCAGACAATATTGCACATCTTCAGAACGGTTATCTAAAAAGTATCAATCAACATCAATGGGGAAGAACATTAAAAAGGTGGCTACTCGACACAGCCAAGCCAGTACTAAAAAACAGGCCTTCAGCTTCCTTCACTTTGGAGGAAAACAATGTTTGTGCTTTAAAAAAGTGTATAGATAGATATATAGATACAGCTTCTTTCTTTTATATAGATATAGAGAAAGAGAAGCCAGATGGCTGGCCTGACTGCAGGCTGGAACAGAAAGCTGCATCGCCAGCTAGGAAAAGTGACTCTGATCCTCAGCATTTTCCACCGACGTTCAATCAGTGCATGCCAGGACTTATCTAGGATTCTGATAAAACATGCATGCCCCCCTCTCACCCAACAGCTGAGTCAGGAACAATGGGATTCTTTGGGTTTATTTGGGTCTCTTTATTCTGATTTTATTTACCATTTCTCCTGCCTTGCTTCACACTGCAACGTGGAGGCAAAGGCAGGACAATACCCATTATTATCGCTTACTATGATGGAAGCGCTCATCTCCGTCCTGGCCCACATGGGAACAAGAGGTGCCTTTACGCTTGATGGGCAGTTAACAGCAGTCCTTGAGGACTGGCCTATGCTGGCCGTGCCTCTGGGATTATAAAGATGCCAGAGTACACTCACCTTTTTCCAGATTAGCTGGAGCCCACAGGCTTTTAGCTGAAGGTGCAAAATTTCCCCCTGTGATGCCTGAACAATAATTCTCTCATTCTTTGAGAGGCGGATTTGAGATTTTTTTTTCCTTTAGTAGTCAATTGAACTAACAGCGCAGGCTGGGAACTGTGCTTTGGACTGTGCTCCGAGAAATCAGAGGGCTTGTGCTTGCATTTGATAATACACTCTGCTACACATTTTGATTACATTACAAACATGATTACTATGTAGCTACTGTAGGTCTCCTAGAAATAATCCTGCACTGACTCACTTCAGATGCCACAAAGATGGTGTTTGAAAGAGCTTCCCCTGCCATATTTTGATTACTGTTCTGCAAAGCTGGGCCACACACTTTAAATACACTGAATGTGTTTGGGAAATCCAATTGCTGGGATAATATTAAAGTGTAATCCTCTCCAACTCCACTGGCGTCCGTCTAGCAGACTATACCGATTACTGTTCCCTGCTCCTGCTGACAAATACCTGGGCGTTTTCATTTACAAGTTGTTCAACAGCTGGCCACAGACGGCTTTAAAAAAATGCTATTTATTATTTGCAGAAGTTAATAAGATGCCTATTTCAATTGGAAATTTCTGGATTTCTTATTAGGTTTCACCATCTGCTCAGCTTCTTAATTCCAAGCAGCGAATACTGACAAAAGTGGTATTTTGCTACCTGGACTGTAACTCAAACCCTAGACAAGGGTCTTTCTGAAAGGCTTAAGGACCAGGTCTAATTCAATCAAGGGCTGGCTGATAAATTTGCCAGGTTCCCAGCCTGAGGCTCCATGTTTGAACGTGCACACCCGGAGGAAGTGTTTGGTGCATGAAAGGTTGGCAAGAGGGAAACGTACGCGAGCACTTTTCCAAGCACGGTTCTTTGGGTGCGCAAAGAGCGCAGTGTGAAATCAGAGGCAGGCTCAAAGGGGGCTGAAAATCTGGCCACATATTTAATTCATATATTTACTTACAGGCATTTCTATAGTGCTTCAGAGCACACTGCAATGTCTCAGGATCACCCGAGGCTTGGGGAGAACTTGGGGTGGTGGATGGGGGTGGGGATTCCCTTCTCCTTGGATTCGGATGATGAGGTATCTTAGGGGCAGGTCTCTACCTGCCACCCCTGCCCTGAAGTGACTGGAGCCTCTTCCCCTTCACAGCACCCCGAGCTGGTCTAGAGTCCATGGTGCCTGGGGGGGACTCACCCCACTAACGTTCGCATTGGATACAAACCCCTCAGTTACACAAGGCCTCTCTGAGGGGCATGTTGCACAGGGCTGATGGCAATGTAAGGGTTGCCCACTTACCATTGTTTGAAAGCAGGAGTGAAGCTGTGTTAGGAATGGAGGCTTCCCAGCCAGAGCCAGCACTCGCTTCTCAACCATCGTGCACTCCACGTCGTCGTCCTGAATAACGACGTCCTTCTTCAGGATCTTAACGGCATAGAGCTCGTCGGTGCCTTTTCTTTCCGAGAGCATGACCTGTGCGGGAAACGGGAGAATTGCTTACGCTGTGCCTGTGCCCGGGCTACGTTTCTACTTTGTCCTCATAGATGCCAGGAGATCCACCTAGGGCTTGTTATTTGGCTATGGCTCCCATTACCACGGTGTGTGAGCATCTCGGAAATACTTACCCTCCCAACAACACGGTGAGGTAGTTTAATACTTTTATCCTCATGTCACAGATGGGGAATTGGGGTACAGAGACACTGTGGGTCAGATTCTCAGTGGTATCTATCCATATCTTTAGGCACCTAATACCATTACAAATCTTGCCCTACATGCTTTACCCTGGAGTCTGTGGAAAAGCCAGGAATTGAACCCAGATCTCCGGTCCAGGGACTTAACCACAAGACCAGCCTTCTTCTCCGAGTGCTCTGAATGGAAGCAGCACTGGTGGATGAGCCTCAGATTCAGAGAGTCCTCATCAAATACCACAGTGGTAAAAAGTTATGCAACTATCTTAATTTGCTTCCACTTTGTTTGACAGTGAATGAAAGGCGGCACTCTTTATACCCCCAGGGTAAATTGAAACACAATTATTCATCTGGCCCATCACTCAGCAACTGCTTTACTTCATGAAGAATAATTTGTTCACCTAATATTTTAAACCAGTTGTGTCAATCTGCAGATTTATTTATTATAATAAACGGAGGCTGCCGTCTCCTGCTAGTGCGATTTTGTCTCATTAATCAAATCAACCCGAATGAGGACTCCTGAAAATCCTGCCGACACCCCACAGATTATGAAGATACATTGCTTCAATTTGGTGTGGGCTGCTTCCGAAACAAACACCGCTCACCAGCGGCCACGTTTTGCTTCCCATTTTCTCTCTCTCGTTGTGTTAAATTCAAATAGTCAGTGGAATGGAATTACTTTACATTTAAAAGAGACTATTAAAATCCTTAGTCACACTGAGAACATACGTTAGGCTGTTTTGAAAATAAATTAGGAGAAATGAACATCAATAGAGTGGAACAGAAATAATTTAAGACCATAGCAGAGCTGGAAAAAAAAAAAGCTAGGCATCATCCTGTGGACTTTTGAAAGGCAAGAGAATAGAATCCCAGCAAAAATACCGCTGTTTGGGTGATAGGAGATGTGCCCCTAAGAGCGCGGCAATGCCCCCAGGAGAGGGTCCATGATTCTGTCACAGCAACTCCTATCTGGCCTGACCAACTCACTACACCTAACACATTGCTGGCATGGTATTTATCTACAAAGAACGTTGTGTAAGGTATCAAATGAAAGCTTGTAACATGCTGGTCATCAGGACCATGGCACGATGGATGTCCAGATAACAATTAAGAAGCTGTTTGTGTATACTGAAAATATGTTTAAACCAAGCAAACTAGGCAGGGCTGATAAAGGAACGTTGACTTGCCAGTCTGCCCAGGTCTCTCACGTGTAAATGGAGCAGGGTTTGCCAGAGACAATGGGAATTATAATTGCATATTGAGTCAGCAGAAAGAGCAAACTAACAGAAGGATGAGAAGAACAGCATGGCGTGTGCTGCTGAAGAATAGAGGGGCAGATGAACTTTTTCTCGGGGTGCATTTCACGGGATAGATCTCAAAGATTTACTGGACTATAAGAAGAGGGGGAACAAACCTCTGCGGGAGCAAAAAGAGCAGCACTGTTTATATCCACAAAAGCTGGATCCTGGCTGGCCAGCACTTCTGACACAGAGGAGACTTTCGGTGAGCAATCCTTGTCTAAGGCAGTTTTAGACGGTTACGTTTAGTCACTAGAAAGCATGTTAGACTTTTGGTTTATTTATAACCATTTTCTGTTTTTATTAGCCTCGCTTAGTATCACCTGAATCGCTGTTCTTTATTAATAAGTTCATTCTTGGCTTTACTAAATGTTCCTCTCAGTACAAGATAGTCAAGTGTGAATCCTCAGCCGAGCCAACAGGAAGGTGTGTTTGCTGTCGCTCTGGAGACAGTGGACTCGGTAATTTCTGTGACGGGCTGGACACTGCAGACCAATGCTCTTTCAAGGGGCTCAGGCACTGACTTGCCCCAAGTGTTCTCTGCATGGTGAAGGAAGGGCTGGCAGAGTCCAGAGGAGCGGAGTGGGCTGGTAACAGAGAGCTGATGCACAGTCTAGCAGCAGCAGCAGCAAATCTCTCGCATGCCACAGCAGAGGAGGTAATTTACAGTTCTGGATGCCCCCAAGACAGTGTCACAGGAGGTAGATTAAATACAGTGACAATATCTATGTTTCACCGTAGGGCTAGGAAGGGTTTTATTAAATCAGGTTCACGGGGCCTAATTCTACTGTGGTACAGCGATGTAAACCGAGAATAACCCCATAGGTGTGCAGTTTTATATTTAAATGAGTAACAGAGCAGAATGCGTCTGAGTCTGTCTAAGATTAGTAGATCAAACCCTGATGACTGAGCATAGGTCAAGTGTTTTGGCAAATATTTGCACATTCAAATGAGAATCGCGGCTGGTGAGGACATTCATTATTACTCAGCTTAACTAATGTAACACCACCACCTGACAGTTCCACACAGCTGTTCCATATCAAAGCCCAACTAACTCATCCCCACAGTTCCCCATGTGGCAGGTTAATGGTATTGCCCGTACCCTACGGATGGGGAAAGCGCGGCACTAAGACAGAGGGACTTGCCCGAGCTGGGATTAGAATCTCAGTGTTCCCGACTCTGCTCAGACCAGGAGACCACGGTTCTGTCTCCTTCCCCGACAATGGTTGCAGACAACTGACCTGACGCAGTACTGGTCCACATCCTCAGCCGGCGTCACTTGGCATCCTCCACTGAAGTCAACAGGATTGCGCTTGTGCTTACAACCAAGCACGTGCTAAAATACTTTACTAGATAGCAGGCCAGTGCGCGCAGCATCTTGGAGGATCAAGCCCTTGGGGCTTGCACCGAAGCTCAGGGAAAGCCTTGGAAAGAGTCTCATGGACCTTAATGGGCACTGGGACAGATTATTATTTGCATGGCAGTAGCACTTTCAGTCCCCAGTCTTCAAATTGAAGTTCAAATACCTCAGCAGCCTGACAAGCATGTGTGTGTGGAGGCAGGCATTCACTGGGCCATGAGGACAAGAACATGAAGATTACTAGCATGTGTCCTTTCTTACTAGGGACAATGTCCTGCACCCTGATGCCTTGGAAAGGAGAGAAGGTCAATCCACCCTCTAGTATTTTTGAAACCATTGCTTGGAGAAGGTATGTCCTGAAGCCTCAGAATGAAAGGTCCCTAGTTTCCCTTGACTGTTCTTCACTAGCTCATGAATGACATCAGGAGTCAAACGGCGGGTGGAGGGGAATGGTGTTAACACTTCGCTGAGCATGAGCTAAGTTCTGCCCACCGGTGAAGCTAGAATGAGATGTCACTGACAATTGACCATGGGGATCTTCAGAATATAACCACCATTTTTTCTTGTAAGCTTTAATCATCAGTGAGTTACAAACATTGACATTTAAGTCATCACCATTCGGGTTCAGAGCTGACACCCTAACAGAGGCAAACAGCGACAGTTTGCACCTCTTAGAGCTACTGTTTTAGGCTGTCTGCAAATTCAGGCAGAAGCTGCCAGTCCGCACTTCAGATGGCCACTGCCTCCATGAGGGCTAGAGGGTCTTTGTTTGTTTTTTAATGACGCATACAATGTAGGCACAAGACCAGTTTAGCAAGTCACCCAATGAGGGACAGGGACAAGGAGCAAGAACCTTCTTGCATTTAGTCGCAGTTCTCCTGTCAATTCACTGCATGACTTGAACAAGTCCCTCTCTGTGTGTGTTGTATCTCCAGCTACACAACTGGGACAGTTCTACTAGTCCACTTTGCAGGAGCAATTTGTAGGGATAAAGTGGTTATTTCCTGTAAAGTGCTTTGACTATGAAAAGTGCTATAGAAACACACAGTTAAGATTCCTTTATTCTGTCTGTTGCATCTGACCTGTGCAAGCACTTACAATTTTGCATGAACTAAGGAATATTTTAAAGTGATCACTGACATTTATCCTTAACATTCTCGTGTAGGCAGTTCAGGTTTATAAGTCACCCCGGTTATGTTTTAACAGAGTTGATTTTAACTGATCAAAAAGGATGGGCTTTGGTTCCTGAAAGCCATCTGAAGAAGGGAGATTATCTGGAAGCGAGTGAATAAACCATGTTGTTCATGTCTGGAAGGATCAGGGCTCCAGTTGGCTACACTTCTTTCTGAAAGGCTACAGGGCATCTCTAAACCTTGTGTCTCAGCATGAAGGCCACAAGTGGACTGCTTTCTTGAAACCAAGAGCAGAAGTCGTCTCAGTTATGAAGCAGAGGCATCATGGTGCATTACAAAACTTGGAGAGTTTGGATACTTTTAAAAAATTCTGTGCCTGGAAGCCTCCAGGAGAGTGTGTGCATCTTTGTGGTAAGAAAGCTCATTGAGGGATAAACACACTGGGACGTTTTCCCTGAGGTACCACCAAAAAAAAAAAAAAAAAAATTAAAAAAACAATTGATTACACTTCAAGATAAAAGCCACTGGAGTGCAGGGTTCAGTAACTGTAAATAATTATGTGGTGGATTCAGACTCTGCTTAGTCAATTGGAGCCTAGCCCTCCAGGGTGAAAACCCCCAATAGATTGATGGATGGTGCCGAAGTGATGTCAGTGTACCTTTCTCATCAAATTGGAGGGCACGTCTGTTGCCACATCACTGTTCTTAGTGTCGGCAATGGAATGAGAGGCCACAGTTTCCTGGTGTACAAAATTAAATGGGAAAAAACTGCTCTAGGGTTTACTTAAGCTGTAAATGTTTTATTCAGTGGCTCTCCAATGGCATACCAACGCTGAAACACGTGGCAGGCATCTCAGTGTGCTGGTCTAAAGATCGTGAGCCAGGCAGTTCCACATCACTAACATACAGGAGGAAAAACAGAGTTCCTTCTCTGCAGCTGCGTAAGAAATCAGTGGGCACTTGCACAGAGTGTATGTATGATGTATGCTACTAAGCCTGGGTCAATGTATTACTCTGTGTTTAGATCCAGACTGACAGACACATGGGGTCACACAAGTGTAAATGCGGAGTTGCTTCACTTAAGTCAGTGGAGCCACTCTGAATTCAGACCTGCATAACCGAGGACAGGACCTGACCCTTGGCCTGTTTGGAAGGTGCTTTCCAGACCGCTGGGAGAGGCATTCTGCACAAATAAGGTAGTGTAGCGTCTGCAGATTTTGCTTCCTTGCAACACTCACCTACGTCACTTTAGCAGCACCCACGGCACCTGAAACCCTATAAATACTGGAGCAGAAAAAAAAAACAACAACAGTGGTTTATACCATTGTCTTCAGTGCCATCCTACTGCAAACTGCGACTAAAACTGATCTGTCTAGGTACTTATATGACCCTCATCAACACAGTAGCTGAGCGCCTCCTAGAACTTCTACATAAAGTGATTCAATTCCAAGATAAAAACGGCCACCGGTGAGCAGTCTTCAGCAACTGTAAATCATTACCGGTATGTGATGGATCCAAACATGAAGGCTCTCCCCCACACCAGGGAAAGAATCAACCCTAGACAGGCAGAAGAGTAAATAACCCAAACTCATTCAGCCAGGGGATCCTGCCAACACCCTGATCTGCAGAAGCAAAAGGCTCAGGCCTTTCCAGAGAAAAGCCATAAAACCCAAGCTCACTCGTGTCACAGACTGAGTAGCTGCAAAATATGAACCAGCTGCATAAATTTAGCTTTTTACAATTTTGGTTAGACCAGAGGGAGGCTTTGCCAACATTGCACTGTTCAATTAAAAACAGGCCTAGGGAATTATGGGTCCCTTCTCCCCCTCCACCTGCTAAAGCTCAAGGAGAATCCCATAATTTATAGCTGCTTGGGTCTGCTCTGGTCCTGGCTATCAGAGCAGCCAAGGAGGGGGAGCAGATGGGCCTGTCCCCAGCCCAGGAATGGGCCAAGATGCCCTGGATTTAGCGACGGGTGGCCGTAGCATCTTGCTAAGCACATTTCAGCCTGAGTCCAGGTGGAACTGAAGACCAAACACTCACTCAATGAAACGTGATGCCATTATTTTACTGAGCTCCCACAGCAGTAACAAAGCCAGAGGAGAACTGTTCCATCCCCTGACCCTCAAGCCGGTCTTTGCGGTGGCTTTACACCTACAGACACAGTCTGTAAGATAGATTGCAATTCCTTTTCTGGCACACGAGAAGCTGATCTTTAACTTGATTTATTCCTGTAAGAGAGCGTATGTGCTTGGGAAGGTTTCAGCATAATAACTGGAGGCAGTCCAACTCTGGATGAGGAGAGGACAGGTTTGTTAAACTCCACCGAGGCCAATATCTAGGGTTTCCTGATGCTTGCCAGCCGTAGCATGCAAGTGAGGAGAATACTAAGCAGTAAATGCTGGCTCTGGGTACCAAAGAGTTAACCAGTTTATTAGTGAAACAGGGATTCACTAAAATAGGTTCAATTATAGTCAAACAGCTCTTACAGGCTGTTTTGAATCTAAAAAAAAATCAATAACTTGATAGGTGGTTTACCACGTACGGCAAAACATGGAGCTAGAAAGTTTAAGCTGCGGCAACACAGGCTGTGGAAGGAGGCTACTGTGACAGATACAAATTACTGCTAGCCAGGCTGCACATGTCTAGGGCAGAATGTGTTTCTCAAACCTGCACAGCAGAGCTCAGCCATCCAATTGGGCAGTTATGGGGAACAAGCAACGAACATAAGAACGTTATGCCCAGTATCCTGTCTTTCCGACAGCGGCCAATGCCAAGTGCCCCAGAGGGAATGAACAGAACAGGGAATCAAGTGATCCATTCCGTCGCCCATTCCCAGCTTCTGGCAAACAGAGGCCAGGGACACCATCCCTGCCCATCCTGGCTAATAGCCATCGAGGGACCGATCCTCCATGAACTTATCTAGTTCTTGAAGCCTGGACAGATCTAAGGAAACAAGATGCCCCATTATGGGGGAAAAGATTGTTTTGTGCTGATGCCACCTTAGACCCAGTGCCTCCCTGCCAACATGCCCATTTCACACGCTAGCTAGCTCATGGGCTGGGATGGATTTGATGATCCGCATGGTTAATTTTGAAATGTCCAACAGCTCCATCTTACTAAGTGGAAAATAAATAATAATAAACGACATTCTCTCCACACAGTCCTTAAAAGCCTTAAATCCTCTAAAGCGTTTTCCCAGATATCCCTCCGGCAGAGAGACGCGCAGCTGGAACTCCTTGATTTCAGAATGTTAAGGAACAAATGTGCAGCAAAGGATGAGAGGAAAAAAGTGGGGAACCCTCCCACTGGGGAATAGTGGGAGCCGGGCTGGATCTAATCGCATAGACCAACGTTCTGTTTTAACGAGCACTAATTAGCATATTTATAACAGTCTGTTCCATAGAACAGTTGCTGTCACATTCCCTTACATAAGCCACGATTCCAACTGAGGGGTTTATTAACGTTTCTCAAAATAAAAAGAAGAGGAGAAAAAACTCCCAAATTCCCAGATGCCAAAGCAGGAGACTTTCAAAGGGATTATTTGTGTGGTGGAGGAGGAGGGGGGCGGGGAAGAGTGGGCAAAAGCAGCGGCTAGTTTTCATTTGTAAGATTTTAGTGGTGTTGTTTTAAACTGCAGTTGGCTAGGGTCTGAGATGACAAACCAGAAGGCACTTGGGAGAGGTCACAGCTGGCAGAGAATGTTTAGGTGGTTTGTGACTGTGCTCCATTTAGTATCGATTTGACAGGCTTACAGGGGAAAGTTGAAGACCGGTTCGGATGTTCCTGGGTGTGAGAGAGATTTGGATTGATTGACTGGCTGAGTTAATCTGCATGTGATTATTTAATACTGCTGGGCAGTCACTAATTAATTGTTTGGGGGCCCATCGCTTTCTGTATGGGGGTGTGTGTGTTATTTTGTTGTTTAAAGCTAAAGAACTAGAATAAACCTGCATGCATCTTCACTACTATTTTAGCTTTAGAACCAAGAGCAAACAGCTAACATGGACCCTCTCCAGAGCTGTCGCTTCGAGAAGCTCCTGGGGCAGCTGCCCGGATGGAGAATCTGATGGTTCTAAGGGCTGAGGGAAGTTAACACATTTGCTGTTCAGTAACACTTTTTGGAGGATCTCAAAGCCCCCACAAACATTATTTACTCTGTGAAATATTTCCATTTCCAGATGGTAAAACAGAGGTTGTGACTCGCTCGAGGTCATGAGTTGGTGCCAGAGCAAGGAACAGAACCCAGACTCCTGACTCTAGCCATGAGAGAACACTTCCTCCATCTGGATGAGTAAAGGAGGGTAAATATAGGGTGAATCCTGAAGGACACAATTTTGATCCATTACATTTATCAGAGATATTAGCATCGTGTCCTCTCGGTACACTGTCACCCCCCCTCCCCCCATCCAAGACATTTATACTGAGGTGGAGAAATATTCCTCTATTAAGAAAGCTCAGTAAACAGTCTGGTGTCAGGCCATCTGTCATAGCGGTGAACGATGTATTGATACACCAACAACGGAAACACAGCCTTCCGCCTAGTCTAGACTTTGAAGCTGAAGTAGCAATTTCAGGATTGAAATTTCTAATGAAAATCTTGATAAAGTTGGCAAACCACTAAGAAAAATAAGGACTCTAGAATCCCACAATTACTAGAAGAAACAAATTCTCTTACCGCACATAACTGGTCTGTAAAGCCAATTAAAACGTTCATGTAGATTTTTAATTATTAGAGAGGAAAAAACACTCAGTTGAACAGAAAGAGCTTTAACACATGTATATACACACACACTCTGTATGTATGTAACCCTATTTCCAGAAAGAAAATCTCAATTTTTTAATCTCTAACTAACCAGATACCTGAATTTCAGCATTCCTTACTATGACTGGGATGCATCAGAAATTGATAAATTGCTACACAGTCCTCAGGTGAAAGGTGGTCAAAATAGCAGAGCACTCTCCACCTTAAATCAATACCCTCTAGTCCCTGATACCGCCCTGGTGACAGCACCTGAACACCACTGGTGCCTCTTATAAGTGGAATTTCCCAGGACACAAAAATGGAACCTTGGCTGTCCTACTGCTCCAGCCTTTCCACAGAGAAGCATTTGGAAGAACAAGAAGTGCTTTGGTGTTTATGGCATGATCCCTTTTTAAAGCAGGTATCTAAGTTTTCAACGGGATGGTTCTACCTGCTGACCGAACAGTTCTCTGCCCTTGCGCTGTACTGCAGAGGAGACCCCAAGGCAGTCCTGCCTACATCGCTTACACAGTCTAGAGCCAAGCCCCTCTGGTTTCCCGGCTGCAGTCACTGGAAGCGCTCATTCTCCTCTCTGCTGACAGTTTGACTGCAGCAATTAGCGCTCATTCTTCTAGTCACGTGCCAAATTCAGATGCGAACTCCCTTCCCATATGGCCTGTCCTCTCCCCAATCCTGCCATCTAATGAGCTGGGGAACGCACACATGTCGAAGGCCAGCCAGGCTCCCAGGCATCATTCCTAGGCCCAGCCTGCTGCTCTGGAGTAATGTGACAGAGCCTAGATTAGGAATTATTATGGACACATGAAAGTCAAGCACAGCACTGTTCACAGATGTACGAACACATGGACCTCCTCAGACCGCACCTTTCCAAAGCTTCCTTTCCCCAGCACCATGAGGAAATTAAAATCTGACAGTTTCATCCGATCTCTGTTTCCATTGTTGTCAAATTTGGAAATCGCATGCGTCATCCTCTCCTCGGCTGCCTTGGCGCCTGGACCAATCCTGGCTCTCTGAAAGGGGAAGAGTGGGGGGGGGGAAAAATCAAGTGAAATGACAAGAAAGACCATTTTTAAGACTGAGTGTATGTTAAAGGGATTATTTCTAGGCAAAACACTAGGCTGAGCTGTGAATGCCTTTTCCATATGAACAATCAAACCACCACCCAGGTCACAATTTGGTAGGTTTGCAAACATAGTGCATAGCATTGCTCCCCGTATTTTAAAACAAATCTCCTTGGAAGGTCCCCTACCCATTACTCCTCCCTGGAGAGCTCACTGGCTGTCTCCCTCCTCTCCTGCAGCTTTCAGAACATTGAGAAAATCTAACTTGACTGGTGAGGGGAGAGCGTCCCTCAAGGTATGGAAAAAGTAATTAGAAACAGAAAAAGACACCAATTACATTCCACCTAGACCACTCCCCTGGGGACACTACACTGCATATTTTCCACTTCTTTGTCCTGTCTCTTTTTAAATGCCTTTGTTCATGGGGCTTCCACCATTTCCCCTGGGAAGGCATTTCCTTAGAACAGGGAGTCTCTAAGCTCCAGCTACAATACAGAGAATATTTAAAAAATAAACGGTACAAAAGATTTGAAGAGTCAGTTGTCGATCATTGGGGGGGAACATAGAGAGTATGGGGGAGATGTTGTTATGTTGGGGTTGGCAGCACACATAATACATACAGACTGTAATGTCTCCAATGGGGTGGTAAGTGGTGGGCGAGATCAAGACACAGTTGACTGGAATACTTGTAAGTAATCTGCGGAATGCCCTTACAAATTGCTATCAGAGGGAGCAACCAGGGAGTGTCCCCAAGCATGCTACAGGTTAACGGAACATTTAAAACTCTGTTCTCCCCCCAGACACATGAGAGAATGCTCATCAGTAACAGCACAGTGATAAGATCTAGGAATAAAAAAACCACATGGGCTTAGATGAGCTGCTTCCTTTACAAAGGCAAACTGTATGCCTTGGGTCCCTGGCCTTATGCACAAAGGGCTTTAAATACAAACATGTTGGAGTAAAATAAGGGGAATTTTTATCCAGCCCAGACTTTATTAACATCTGATATTAAAGAGAACTGGGCTCCTCTGTCATTTCAGGCTGAATGCATGAAACCACAAATACATTTCTGAGAACAGACTCCACAGTGCTTCTTCTTCCGCATCCTCAAAGCAATCACACAAGCTGGTCGAATCACAACTGCTTATTAAGAAGCCTCGCAAAAGACATTTTTAAGCACTAAAGCTCATCACTTGCTCTGTGCCTTGTCATTGGTCCAGTGGCTATCTAACTTACTGAACCAGAATTTGTAAAAGCTATCTCACAATGTATTCCGTTTTAATTTTTAGAAATATGCCACACTGTAGAGCCTGCACAGAGCTCAGTCTAGCATGAAATTCCATCAACCCGATTCCAGCAGCTCAATTTTAGTGTCGCTCATAGCTCCTCCAGATAGGAGGCTCACAAGTAATCACCAAGACTTTGCTGGTGCTAATTGGTTATTGCAAGGTTCTCTCTGCTATAAAAGTCTCCATTCAAGGTCACCTGCAGCACCTACCAATAGGTGACCGAAGGTCTTGCACTGAAAACGAAAGAAAACGTCGCAAAAACCTGAAGCCATCGATGCCTAATTGCAGCTGCAATTCTGAATGAGTGCTCCAGGGAAGAGGTTGAAGTCATTGAGCGGCCTTATGTCCAAGACTGGCTGCAAACAGAATGACAGCCTCGGACCTGTGCGTAAATCTATAACCCTATCGTTTTTTAAAAAAACCCACTGATTCAGCCTCCCAGAAAAGTGCAATTTTCAAAAGTAATTTTTAGACTTTTTACCGTTTCCAAAGTTCTCTAGCTAAGGTGGAATCCTGCCCAAACCCATTGTATTTTCTTAGTATTCAGAACTAGACATGTGACAGTGAATAAAATCCAGGCACTTCCAGCAGAGGGCTGGTTTCTGCTTCCCCTAGTTGGCCCCCTGGTGGGTAGCTCCATCTGGCACCCAGTGCTGGGGCTGAAGCTGAAATGAAAGGCAAGCAGTCACCTGGAGCCTCGTCTGCACTCATGCTTGCCTCTCACCATTGCTAGCATTGGTCAGAGCTGAACTGGTGAGAGCAGCGGTGGGACGTTTGGCCGGGGGGAGGGGAGCCTAGGGTGGACACCACGCTTGATGGGGGTTGGAATAAACTTTCCCCACAGTCAAGTTATTCCATCAGTGCCCTTCTACTGAAGCACCTGATATTAGCCATTGGCAAACAGAACATTCAGCTAGATGGATCTGCTCTGGTCTGCAAGGGCAATTCCTAAGACCATTTTACTGACGTAAGATCATAATTCATGCACATGAGGGTACAGAATTAGGGATTCATGTTTCACTTTAGCCTCAGCACTTCTTAACACAGTGTTCTTAACCACGCACACTTGGTATTGGATTAATATTGTCTGGGGCATTGAATTTGACTTAAGAGGTTTCATATTTGTACAATTAAGCAAGACTTTGTACAATTAAACAAGCTAAAGCCCGTCCTGGGTTGTACACTTTTGCCTGTAAAAGTTCTTAGCAGGTCACATTCCAGAGCCATTTTAATACAGGTGAAAATATAGGCACAATGAAGAGGAATATTCATATTAGGGGAAAACATTTCCACATGGTATAGATGGTCTTAAAGCATTTTTGTCAAGTCAAATTTGACACCAAATCATGGTCTGTGAAAACAAGCTGTTACAAAATTTAGGACCAATATTGAAGATTCCATGACATTTTAAACAATACACATTACCCTTGGGTGCTTGCAGTCCAAACATTGCAACACTGCACCAGTGCATGAGAACCTGAAAGTGACATTGGCTAACCAAGAGTGAAACTTTCACTGCTGAGGAAAATGCAAAGAGCAAATGAACAATATAAGGAGTAAAAAGTAATCTAAGGGTTTTCATTTGCTCTGTTTTAATAGTCTCTAATAGTTTTCTTAAATGCAATTTATAACCCAACTATCTCTTTAAATGTGATATTGACAGGTCTTTTGTATTACTGTTGTCCATACTAATGTTGCTAGTAATTGAGGTTTTTGTGCTCAAGGAAGTTCTCCCTCCCTCTCATTTCATCTAGTGTGTAACCTGAATTTGTGATACCAAAATAATGTCTAGGATAGCAGATAATGAGATTATAAATACAGGAAGGCTTTACTGAAAGATCAGGCAGAGTGTTTAGCAAAACCAGAAGGGAGAAAGCCATTAAAAACACATAAGTGCCTATAATAATAGACCACAGAACACAGCTGACCACTCCTCAAGTAAAGGTAACTTGCTTTCTCTATCATTGTGCTCATGTTCCCATGTCTGAGTCACTGTGAAAGTCCTTTAACATTTTTAATACACTCTTAATGCTCATGTTCTCTCTCTGGTTTATAACTAATTCATTGCAAATGTTGCCACAAAAATAAAAAAGCACTTGACCATCATTATCCAATCCAATTTGTCATAGTTAATTTACTGCACCTGACTCTATGCAATACCAGCTGATGTTCACATCGATCAAGGTGTCCCAGCAAGTGGCTGGTAAATGATAAGGAAAATTGGCAAAACATGCAATGCAAGCTTCACTCTATGCCTGTTTCAGAACTCTTTGTTAAGCCGAGGGTACTTACAGTTGCAGACATAAGTCTGAAGGAAGCCCACAAAAAGGCATATGGCAATCAATATTTCAGCCAGTAATTACACTGCATGCTAAACAGAACAGAGGGGCCAGAGGTTGCTGAAAAAAGGCACATAGACAAGCGTTTTAACAGGTCTTCTGTAGCATGCAGTGCTCCATATCATTCCTTTCATGTTTACTTCCTTTGCAATGCTTTCTACAGCATCTCAGAATGTAAGACTGAAACTCTGTCCTATTGATTTGTGCTGCCCAGAAAGGCAGGATCAAGCAGTACTAATGCAAATCGATTGGTGGATTCTTTTTATCCCTTATCATTTTAACTGAAATGACAGAACTCTTGCCGGCTGCATTACAATTAGCGTCACAGTGCATCCCCGTGACCTCTCAGGACACCCTAGGAAGGCTGTTGCTGAACGGACAGGCAAGTTAGAGATTTCGGTCTTAAATCACATTTTCAGTTCCTAGCAAATCCATGTTGTAAGGAAGCACTAAAGAAAGATAGAGTATCCTCATGGACTCGAATACTGAACTGAAATCATTCTGAATTTCTCTCTGGTCTAGGATTTGGTTCCATTGCAATGTCAACAAATCCAAGAACAGGCGGAAGATTGTTAATTGTTACATTCGGTCTGGTGTGAAGTACAGGGTTATCCAGTCATAGTGCTGTAGGTCAACAAGAGCCATATTAAAGCTGCATTCTTTTCCTCTTGAATGTGCAGGCAAGATACACATGAGCATTATGAGACTCTACACATCTAAGCAAAGAAATAATGAGGCCATGTATGATAGTTGTGTAATTTAGACTGATGTCCACTAGACCAGCCATTTCGTTTCACACACAACTTAAGGACAGATTACAGATCTCCAGACGGAATACGGTCACCTTCAGGAGGCTCTTAATATGGTGAGAAGCCAGGGAGGAGACTGAGTCAACTGCCATTCTAGAAAAGAGCCACTGGGGCCTATCCAGCCCCAAATTAAAGATTCTCCCTCAGGAAGCTCTTATAGGGGCGGGTCAGATCAAAAACCCACTGAAAATAAGTGAAAAGATTCCCACTAACTTCATGGGCTTTGAAGCAGGTCCCTGGTGCTGCTACCAGCCAAGTCATGGCGTCTTATAGGTGGCATTAACATCCCGCATCAAGGTCCTTTTTACGCTTCATGACACTACCCTGTGCTTGTAGCAGCTAAGCCAGACTAATTCACCTGGGACAGTCCATGCTGCAAGGCTCCACGCGCGCTCTTCAGCTCCAGGAACCCCTGGGACCTTCATGAATGAATTCTGACCACCACTTCCCAGGCATGTTTCTTTCCAGCCCTGCCTGTGCCAATTAAAAGGATTCCCCTGAGCAGCTATTCAGCCGAAATCCCTGTCTCTTCTAGTAGCTGATTATCACAAGTTTGAGTTCGGAGCAGCACATCAGTCTGCATCCTGGCTGTGAGGGTCACACATCAGTAACTGAACAGCTGGTAGGATCCTGCAGAATGAAGGTTTTTTTCCTTCCCCTTATTTTCTCCACAGAGTCACCAAAGTGCTGTGGGTTTGCATAGTGTAAACTGGAACACGCAACTATTTCCAATGTTCCAAAGAAGCTTTTTGAGATGACAAGTAACTAGCAAGAAACACTGAAAGGAACAAATGCTACAGAAGAGATTCTGCGTGTAAGTAGGTCAGCGTGCCGCACCAGTGTGACACTTCTCAGGGGACTGACGCCTGGAACCCAGCTTCCAAAAAGGGGCTTTGCTCGCTTCCAGCTCCGCCCTTCAGACACATTAGGCTGATGCTGATGCCATTTTTCATTGCATTTGCACTGTGCATTTCATAGAAATGCACCATAACCAATCTGACCTTCGCTGTCACTTGGCCTTGCCAACCGGTCTGTGGCCCAATTAATTTAGCTTCCAATTCCTAATATGTTAGACAGCGTCACTGCGCAGGCACGCCAAGCAAGGTAAAAAAGTGCTATCTACAGTATTAAACAGGAACTCGTAAACTTGTGTATAGGGCCCCGTTGCTCCTCCAAGAATTCCATCCGCATTTTCTGTCAGTTAATAGGCGTTTTGTACTCAATTGTTAAGGATCAGTTCCTAACAAGTGTCAATTCACAGGAAGTGTCATCCTCTCAAAGATGAAAGAGATCACCACCCGAAATATGTGAGATAATATACTGGAGGTTACCACAACACAACGTAGGAAACAGAATGTGTGCAGAATAACTTAAGGATTCCTCTCCAAGCTTGGTCTCCAATCCAATTATATCAATATCTTAGTTTATCTTCATTAATTATATTAATTTATAGCCACACAGACTACAGATAAAACAGATTAACAAATTCCATTATATTGTACTTCAAAACTGAGAGTAAAATTGCAATTTCAAACAACACTTCCATTGTTCTGACATCAAGTGTATGTTAGGCCATCACAGGACATGATCTTCATCCTTCTTACATTAAAAGATAGCCTTGAAAGTATATTAACGTAATGATTTCCTCTTCCGGCTACATTTATGTTCATGCTGACAAACACAAAAATTGTATAATCCCAAATCCTAATAAAGAGATCCAATCTAAAGAGTTGAGAATGAAATGGTAAAGCTGAGTTTATTATAAAGCTTTGTGTTTAAATGAGAAATATAAAAGCTGCCAACAATTAAAAAGCAAAAAACCCACAGCCTGATTGGCTCACAGCTTCATGCCAACTGTAAATTCTAGCTCTGTGGCTCTGGATTGAGCGCTCAGTAGCACGCAGATTACTACAAACCAAAGCTATCCAAAATTTTACTTTGGTGCAATGCTTTTCTAGCTTAATTGTAGATAACATTATAAGCAAAAAGAATCCTGTGCATACATCTCACCTCCTCCAATAGATTCTCCAGTTGGTGGCTAAGCCACAGTTCCAAAAAAACTAAAACCAAACAAACATAGATCGCAGTCTTTTCTAATTAAAATACAATGTTCTAGAGAAGTGAAAGGGTTAACTCATGCAATAAGTTAGAAATAACTCCTATCAGCACCAACCGTCGTCAGTGTATAGCTGATACCCCCCACTACAACTTCATGCCCTAGTGAATCTGCATACTGGATCTGAACCTTCTGCAGCCTTTCCATCTTAGTTATGAAATAATGCACTGCCGTTGGTTCCACATATCTGAGCTGCTATTTTAAACACACAAAGGGCGTAGAAACGCACAGTGTCACTGAGTCAGCAGAGTCTAAATGTTTACGTTAAGATCAAACGTGATTCGCAGTATGTTTTACTAATGATAACCTTTAATACCCACTCAAGCCAAGTGCTCTTGTGAAGACAAATATTAGGACTCCTCGGCCCAAACAATAGATATTGGAAGCTCTCTTTGAAGCAACTGTGCTGAATTTAATTAAAGGTTGTCAAGTAAAAATCCCATTGAGTGTCCTCAATGCCTAGTTAATATTCAGCCGGGCTGTGGACTCAGATGGAGAAAATGCATGTGTACGAATGCAACTCCACAGCAGTCACTCATTGCTGAAGCCAATTTCGGTCTAGGGCTCACTGCACAGCATCAGACACTCAGCTGGCGTACATCGGCCTCGCTCCACGGACTTTGATGGCGCTTTGCTGATCTACACCAGCTGCAGATCTGGCCTCAAGCTCAATAATCAAAAGCTTGAATGTTGTGCACAAAACCGCCAACTCTGGAGTTTTGCTATTTGAAGACTGGGCCAATTGGGGCAAGTTCTCATGTCATTAAACAAATGGCTGTTCAGAAGAAGAAAACCTCAGTTCATTGCGGTGTCTTTTGCATGTATGGAGTCCCAGGAAACAGGGTAAATAGAACGAATGCCTAGAACAGCAACGTTCCTTAGGGTTCCAACATGGCGGGGGGGGGGGGGGGGAGGGTTCATGGACACAGGAAAAGTGGGGGGGGGGGGGGGGGGTGTCATTTTTTATTAGACCAACTTCTCTTGGTGAGAGAAACAAACTTTCCAAAACTTGCAAGCTTGTCTTTCTCACCAACAAAGTGTCCAGTGAAAGATAATACTTCACCCACCTTGTTTCTCTAATGTCCTAGGGCCAACAAGACTGCACCAACACTGCACGCACAGTAAAAGTGTTGCCTCCACATATACCCATGAATTTAGTAAGCTTCTGCACTGATCACTTAATGCATCCAGGTAAAAAACAGCCGGGAGGCTTCAGGTCTCTGAAGTGATCTTTCGTTAGTTCCCCCCACAAACCCAGTGCACAGCTCTGGGTGGGATGAATGCAGGCAGGCTACCCACGAAAGGGCACAAGAGTGAACGAAGCCCTGCCCCATGGCTACACAGGCAGGAAAGGGGACGGGGAAGAGCATGGGGTTGGAGCAGAGCTTCCCTCCCTCCCTCCCTCCTTGGTGAGATGAGGGCAGGGTGGAAATGCCCTTTACTGAGAACAACCTTTCACCCCAGGACTCGAGGCAGCCCACGTAGTACTGGCTATAAGGGAAGGTGGTGGGTGTCTGAGAAAACTCCATTCACCTCAAATTTCTGCCTGAGTTCCTCGTTTCCTTCTTCTCCCTCGGGGGGAACCGGAACGTTGAAGTATTCCCCCTCCTCCTGGCTCAGCAGTTTAAACCTAGATGGACAGAGCAAGAACAGCATGTAACTAAGACAGGCCTGAACCTCAGACACCAGTCACAGAATCATAGAACCATAGGGCTAGGAGGGACCGCTAGGGTCAGCGAGTCTAACCCCCCTGCCAAGATGCAGGATTTGTTGGGTCTAAACCATCCGAGACGGATGGCTCCAGCCTGCTTTTGGCTTGGCTGTTAAACACAACTGTCCTGCTCCGTTCCCTTTTCCTTCTGCACCGATGATGATCTCCTGGGTTTGAAAGAACCCAGCTCTTCATACTCACAATACCCCCTTCATCAGATTTCCAGCTGTGTCGCTGGAACACCGTGCAGGCGTTTGGTTGTTCCCCCCAACACACACACACAAACAACAGCATAACGCCCTTCCACAAGGCACCTTGATGGGGGGTTTTGCCAAGTGGTATAGACACCAAGAGCCATTGGAGCCTGGTTTAAACTAGGGGCCTGACTGAAAGTCCATTGAAGTCTATCAGTCTTTCAATTGACTTCAGTGGGTTTTGAATCATGCCCGCTCAACCAAGGCAGTGAAACTGGTGGTAGCACCAGTGGGAATGCCCCCTCCCCAAAGATAGAGATTTTGGCATTGCCGACCCAATCTGCTCCCGGGGGCCCAGGACCAGAAGAGCAGGCCAGCCGCTTATCGCCAGAGCAGTCAGGGATGGCAGGGGCTAGTGCTGCTGCAATGGAAATATCAAGGGGCCTGATGGTTGTTTCTGCTCCTGCGGGTTGTTCCGCTGCATAATCTGGGAACCAACGTTCCCTGTAAACTGCGTGGAGCAAGAGCAGGACGTGGAGGGGCTGGAGCAGATGCTGCAGCCCCTGAAGTCAGGCTGGGAAGCAGGCCGGAACCTAGGCGATCGGGCCAGGGCTAGGAGCAGCTACCCCGGCAGCTAGTGAGAGATGCAAATGGCCGGGACCCGCCATCCCAGCCTGGAGCCAGCTGCCCACCCACTCAAGTCTCAGTAGCTCCCCATGCACATCACCCACCCTACTCCCCCTCCTATCGTCTGCATCCCCACTCAAAGCGAGCTTCCGCTGCCTCGGAGAACAGCCACAGCCATGAAGTGTAAAGCAAAGATTTCCACAAAAATCGGGGAGGGGGTGGAGAGCTTAGCCAGCAATTAACAGACATCATGGAAATGTCATTCAGATCGGAGGCATTTTATTCAGCCCCGGGCAAAGCCTGGGCTCCCTCAGTGAATTCCTTTCCACAGCAGTCTGCGAGGGGCCGTTATCGTTATCGGCTGGATGTTATCTAGAGAGCCTTGTGTCTACAGTGAATGAACAAAGTGGTATTTGCATAATACAGGGACGGCCTCTTCCTTTGAGCCTGCTTTCTCCATTAACTGCAGTTGTTGAGATATGAAATATGCATCAGAGCCTTCTCCCAGAGTTTATTCTAGCCAAACGCTGTGACAGGGAAAATTACTTAGATCTCCACTTACATGATTTTAAAACTCCGTGAGAAACTCTGGCTCATGCTTTCCATTGCGCTAGGAGGGGGCGATGGCCTGATCCCAGCTGAAGCGCACACATGCCTGCAGGCGACCATAAGCCTTGGAGGGATTTGTAATTTAGCTTCTTTCCAGGAGAGAGACACTGCCTCCATTTCAGGTATATTTTAAGCGGGTGAGGCCCAGGGGACCTGAATGTGGTTTTGGGAGATGGGATCTCTAATTCCTGATCTCATTGCTGCATGGAACTTATGTCTCTACGCTTCAGCTTCTCCAGCCGCACAGTGGGGCTCGTAAGACCTGCCTTCTAGTGGAGCTGAGAGACCTCACTAACGTTTGCCAGGCACTGAGAGCTCCAAATGTGAGAGGCAGGGTATCCTTACGACTATTTCATTAGCAGAAACTCCGACCAGGCAGGAGGTACGAATGTAACCGGATGTTCCATTGCAGAGCTGTGTGTTCCTCTGGCGAGGTACGTTACCCATCACGGAGCAGCACGCAGCCCGGCCGTGCACCTTCCGGGTGGATTCTGGAGGGGCTATTCCTGGAGCTGTGCTGTCCTTTTATAATGACACAGACGCTTCTATCCAGAAACCCAGAGTTTGGAGGTGGAAAAGGTGTAGTCCCACTCCTCAGCCTTAAACAGGGGTGGACCGGCTTAATATTTACAAATGCCTTATCAGGCCTTCTTGCCCCCCCCCCCCCACACACACACACTCCTCCCCCTCCTGGAGCTATTCTGCAGAGATCAAGTGGGAACCTGGACAAGATAATATGGTAATAGGGCAAATGAGTGATGTGCAGGCATATTTTTATGGTATACCACCACCAGTTAAAAATAACAGATTACAGCTGTATGACGTTTGTTGATTATTCTGTTTTCTAAACATTCCTTCTCTAACTGCTCTGAGTTAAATTAGAAATATGGGCTCTTACACATTTTCCTCTCTATATCTGCAAGGCAGTTTCTTCAAGGAAAAAGTGGAGAATCCAGGGAAGCTTTTTGCCTCCCATAATAAGTGGTCCGTCTGGTTTTTGCTTGCAAGACACATACAATACCCGTTTAAATTACTATACTTCACATGGTAAGGTAACATATCTCTCAAGCCTCAGTGACTACAAAAGGAAATTAAAATGGCATGAAACCTGCTGGGGAAGATAACATGAAAATGAAGAGACCCCATACAACATGATTTTTATGGGCCCACTGTGTTCATCTTTCGTATGGTAACAAGTGACAATAATTACATGCTTTGGACAGGATTTCTCATTTCATTGAAAGAAACCTCTAATCATCATTTCAGCTAGTCCACGGGCTGCAGAAGCAACAGCCTCAGACATAATTCATGTTCCTTCTCTACTCTCTCCCTTAACTAGCTACCACTGGCTTTTCTTTGGATTCACACTGTGATCAACACAAAGGCTCCTTGCTGGGTACGTGAAGCCACGAGACTATTGTTAAAATCACCCTAGATTACATTTTTCATGCTCCCTTGTAGCCCAATACATTTGAAGTTTTGAAACCTACATACTACCATGCAGGACAAATGCTGGGATTTGGGATTACGGATTAAATCTATCATTCTGATGTGTGCCTAGACCAGGGGTGGCCAAACTGTGGCTTGCTAGCTGCATGCGGCTCTTTTTACAGTTAAAGTGAGGCTCACGGAGCCCCCCCAAACTCCTGCTCATTCTCCACCTATCAGACTGGGGGGGGGGGGCGCTCAGGGCTTCTGCCCTGCAGTAGGGTGGTGGGGTTAGGGGCTTCTGACAGAGATGATTGGTGCCTGCTGAAAGTGGGGGCATAATTTAAAGCTTTGTTCCCACCCCCAACAGCTTGAGTCTCTCTCACACACACACACACACACACACACACACACACACACACACACACACAC